CAGCCTTGCTGGCTGGGGAATTCTGGGAGTTGAAGTCCACCCGTCTTAAAGTTGCCAAGGTTGAGGAACCCTGCTGTAAAGCATTCTCAGATAAAATTTCTCCATCTGCGTAACTCGTCTATAACCATGTTAAATCTATACAGAATCAAAAGGCTTTTGAAGTGTAAATTGTTACAACAGTTGGTTTTTTAATGAAAAGCGAGCTGACTCTAATATACCATATTTGAACATTGTGCTAGTCACAGATTACAGTGACAGTAGGTGCACCATTGGTAGACCTGAAGGCCAGGCTGAGAGATCATCCTGGAGAAGATCTATCTGTGTGGTTGCTAGGAGTCAATACCGACTTGATGGCACATATTCGATGATTGTATAGATTTTACTCTAAAAAAACAACACTAATAATAATAATAGCAACCACTAGATGGCACTATGAACTAGATGGCATTATATACTCTTTTAAATACAGATTATTGCTCTTTGAATGCAAGGAAACCAGTAATTACATGAGTCTGTGTTTTTCTGTAGATATTACCAAAACAAAAAAAAGTATCAGCAAAAAAGAAAACCCAACTAAGAAACATTCTAGATGAGTTTGTTTATTGAAGTAAGCTTTGAGGTACCTTAATTATGTGCATTTTTTTCTATCCTTAGGAAAGATTTGAAGCGCTTTTCACAATCTATGATGCTCATGTTACATTCCAGTTATTTAAAAGCTTCCGAAGAGTAAGGATAAACTTTAGCAATCCAGAAGCAGCAGCAAGAGCACGGATAGAACTCCATGAGACAGACTTCAATGGGAAAAAACTGAAGCTATATTTTGCCCAGGTATATATATTTCTTATTTGGATCCCCCCTTTCTGTTAAAAACAGAAACAGTCCCCAGGGTCTCTTCTTGCTTCTGCTCCATATAATCTAAAAGTACAGCAATTTGTATGAGGTTTATGTTAGTCAGTTATGGCAGTGTTTCTCAACCTTGGCAACTTTAAGATGAGTGGACTTCCACTCCCAGAATTCTGGGAGTGGAAGTCCACTCATCTTAAA